TAGCAATTTAAAGCATTTTTTCATTTGATCATAGAAAGCTTTGATTTCCTCTTCTGAAAACTTCCTGTTCATATCCTTTGACCATTTATCGAATGGGGAATGGCCCTTATTTTTATAAATTTGACTCAGTTCTATGCTCAGTATATATTTGAGAAATTAGGACTTTTTCAGAGAAACTTGCTGTAAAATTTTTTGACATTACTTCACTATCCAGGGTATCTTGTAGCAAATGTTGTTTCCCTGATTATCCCTTTGAATTGGGTCTATGTTTGACTTTTGCTTTGCTTGAGATCTTGATTGCTAATCCTGCCCTCTTCATTTCAGCTGAAACTTAATAAACTCTGCTCTAGTCCATCATTTCAACGCTCTTTGTGTCATTCTGTCCCAAGTGTGTCTCTTGTACACAACACATTGTTAGATTCTGGTTTCCAGTCTATTCTGCTATCCATTTCCATTTTATGGGTTAGCTCATCCTATTCATATCTACAGTTATGATCATTAACTATTTCCCTCTATCCTATTTTCTTCTGTTTACCTTCTTTCTCTTTTCATATTGTCCCTCCTTAAAAGTTTGTCTTGCTTCTGACCACTGCCTCCTCCAATCATCCTTCTCCGTTATAACTCCCAGCCCCTCACAAATATCTTCTATCCTCTTTCCCTCCTATCTCCCCATTGGGTAAAATAGATTTCTATATCCAACTGAGTGTGAGTGAGTGTGTGTGTGTGTATTCTTCCCTCTCTGAATCAATTCCAATGAAAGTGAGGTTCAAGCATTTCCTGCCACACCCCCATTTTCCCCTCCACTATAAAAGTTCTTTTTTGCATGCCTCCTTTATGTGAGAATCCTGTCCAGTACTCTACCATCTTGGCTCTGCCCTCTCCCAGTTACAATATGGTTCAACCCCACTCAGGACCTGTGGCCCACTGACTCCATGTTTGACACCTGTGTTCTAGATAATCAGCAAATAATAAATCAAGCCCTTACTTGTAACATTTATGAATTATAGCATATACTGATTTCCTGGGTGCAAATTCTCACGCTGAAAATTTAGCAATCTGTTCTCTAGTCATTTTAGCTAGTTCCAGCGCACCCCTGTGGCATCAAAGGCCACCTAGTCTGAGCCTTTCATTTATAAATGGAGAAACTGAGGCCAGGAAACTATATGACTTGCCCAGGGTGATGCAGGTATTGATCATCAGAGGCATGATTTGAACTCAAAACTGCAGACACCAAGGCCAGTATTCTTACTTAGAAAAATGTTCCACAAAACATGCCTGCCATAATGTAGTTTTGACATATTCTCTCTAGAAATTTCAAAAAAGTTAATTCAATATCTTGTTTTATCATGAAGAAAAAAGATAATTTAGAAAATCATTTAAAATAGTTAAAATGTACAATTTGATAGAAGGAAATAATCATTGCCATTGTCATCAACATCATCATCATAATTATCCAATTGTTTTCATAGAAATTCTGCATTTGGATTATCTTAACGAAGGAAAAAAGTAAAATCCTAACTGATTCCTTCCAAAGAGCTGTCACCCAGTAGACAAGCCTCCATTCCCATTCATTTGCCCTCCCCCTTCCCAATGGGGCCATTGTTGCCTTGTCTGGAGACCTGGATGCATTGCCAACAGTTTCCTAGAGGAGGGGCATTACTTGTCTTTCTCTCTTTGTCATAGTTGCTGTCCTTCATATAACAGATGATTCCAGTGGGAAAGTACAAAAAATTGGATTCTGACATGGTCCAACAAAAGTTCAATTATTTTAAGTGGCAGACATTTGCCAGGCTGCCATGTGGGCATCATTGCTTTTCTCCCAGGTGAATAATGTGGGTTTTTCAGTGTCTCTGAGTGAAATGGGTGACATGGAATTAATTAAGTTACCAATAGAAATGTAAGGTGCCATCACCTAGATTAGGGATTGTATTGTTCCTGGCTGTTGGACACTGTCATTTTTAATGGTGTCTCTTCGCCCCCTTCTCTGCTTCTCAAAGTTGCAGTACTTCTGGACTCAGGCATCTCCTAGCTGTTCAGTTCATCCTATGAGCTCATGATCATGTCAATCCTGGAGTTAATAATGAAATTAGGGGATTGGTTTGTGATTTCATTGATAGGCAGAACTCCTAGATGATGAAACTCCATCTACTAATCCAAGTTGGCATGTTCTGTACAACTCATGGTCTTAAAGAAATACCTTGAAAGGGAAGTTAGATTGCTCAGTGGATAGATCACTGGCCCTGGAGTAAGGAGGACCTGAGTTCAAATATGGACTCAGACATTTAGTAGCCCTGTGACCCTGGACAAGTCATTTAACTCCAATTACCTAAAAAAAATAGAATTTCCTTGAGCAATGACTACTTAAGTAACTTGCCCAGGGTCACATAGTCAGTATATAGTCATAGGGAAGTGATTGTTGATAAATCAAGATAAATTAATAAAATAAATTTTTAAAAATAGCAGAGCTTTTGCTGAGGCTTGGCATCATAGCTTGTTAGAGCTTGAAGGGATCTTAGATGTGATTAGTTCTACTCACCCCTCTTATTTTACAAATTAGGAAGCTGAGGCACTGAGAGGATACGATTTGCCCAAGGTCACATAAATATCATAAAAGACACAACTGGAATGCAAACCACTTAACTCCTACTCCAGGATGCCTCCAACAGAACTGAGAAGCCCTCAATAGTTTTCCCACAGTTGGCTCAAAACCCAGGGGATTTAGTTAGATGGAGCAAAAGCTCTATTAATGAGCAAGCCTTCTTCACAAAGAACCTTCATTTGGAGGAGTTATTCTTTTCTTGTTGGTAGGAAGTATGGCATAATGGATGAAAAGCTGGCTTTAGAATGAGGAAGACCTGAGTTCAAATCTTTCTCTGAAAATCCTTTAACCTCTCAATGCCCCAGGAACCTTTCTATTACAGTAAATGGAAGAGGAGGTGCTAACTTGTACTAGTGATGATTGCTTCTTCACCACCTCTTCCCCTTACCAGTGAAACCATAGCTCTAGTCTAAAAAAAATCACTTCACAGCCACAGAAGTCTAATTGATTCTATTTTCATCAACTATAAGGAAGAAAATAATCCTCAGAGCCGATCTGGATGCATCCCCTCATTTTAAAGAAGCATAATAATTTTACCCTTTGAGATTTAGCAAAAGTATTAGATAGGGAATGAAGGAGGAGAACAAACACTGAAATGTAAACAGGAAGCCTTTTAGGTGCCAAAATACCATTCTACAGCTTGAAGAAGTCTGAGGTTTGAATAGTTCAATTACCTATGAAGAGGCCAACAAGACAATGATCTTGTCCCAGGATACAGAACAATTCCATACCTTGTCCCAAACCATTCATCTCCATAAGACACAGCAAGAGTCTGGGAAGTATAACTGGACTGAGCACCATAAGATGAAGTCCTTCATTGAGAGGAGCCTCCTCTGAATTGTGTGTGTGTGTGTGTGTGTGTGTGTGTGTATGTGTGTGTGTGTGTGTGTATAATTTTTCAATCACATCCAACTCTACATGACTCCCTTTGGGATTTTCTTGGCAAAGATCTTGGAGTGGTTTGCCATTTCCTTCTCCAGCTCATTTTACAGGTGAGGAAACTGAGGCAAACAGGATTAAGTGACTTGCTTAGGGTCACACAGCTAGTAAGTGTCTGAGGCCACATTTGAACTCACAAAAATGAGTCTTCCTGATTCCAAGCCCAGCTCTCTATCTGCTGTGCCACCTAGCTGCCCCACAAAGAATTGTTAAATGGGACAGATCAGATTTCTTCTACTTCTAGCCTAGAGGAACTAGACCCCAGGACTGAAGTTTTGATTGAGGAGTCAAAGAGTTCTACCAATCCTTGATTAAAGATTACTTTCCTTTGCTGAAAAGATCACTGTAATACTCCAGCTGAAAAGGATTCTACAGCAACCAGCCAAGCCAGGGGCTAGAGGTAATGAAGACTATACCCACCCAAAAAAGAGCCAGCCCAGGGGGTCTAGTTAATTTACCCATCCAGTAGAAAATATCACCCTCTATAGAGAGACCAGTGGCTGAGTTTTCTGCCTGGCTCAGTCTGGCCAAACAATAGGGGCCAAACAATCTGCCTGGCCTATTCTGATAGCCACTAAGTGACTTGCTTAACCCAGCCTACCAACAAATTGGCCAATTCAGTTTAAACCCTGTGTTCTGTAATAAGCCTAACTGAACAGCAGTTCATATCCCCCACTGAATTTCTAGAGGACCCTCTGGAGAAAGAAAGGACACCAAGGTCTTGCAGTGCTAGAGTTGTGAGTTGCTTTGGCAAGGTATATTCCATATATGTGCGCATCACTATCATTGGAAGTTCATGACCACTTTTTCCCCTGTATACTTTACATATATATTAGTGGGAAAGTGGGCTGCAGGCTATATAGAAAGCGTTTTGTAATTACTGTTCTTGTTTGAGGAAATACATTCACTAAGAACTAAGTCTACTGGCTGATTGTTAGGGGGAAGTAAATTGGTGGGGGCTCATGAGGTACAAGTATCAGGAAGATAGCCAACCATAAGAGTACTCCTAGAATCCTAAGAGTAGTAATAGCTGCCCTTCTGAAACCTAACCTTCCTGGCTAATGTGAGGTAAGAGAGTAAGCCTAGAGACGATGCTACAGAGAATTAAGCTGAGGCCCAGAGAAGTTGAGTAACCTGTCCAGATTCACACAGGTAAAAAAATAGAAAAGCCAAGATATCCACCCAGTCCCACTGACTCCAAATTCAGTCTTATTTCCACTACTGCATACTGACCCAATGTTCTTTTTTTTAGTGGAAATAGAACATACAAACAGCAAACAGAGAAACAAACAAAAAAAACTGGGTGGATACCTATTGAGCTGAAATGGGAGACAAGCTGTGTCTGTGCTGACATCCTAGCAAGGAAATTGGGTTTCCTTTGAAAAAGTAGCCTGTGAAACTCTATTCCTGTTCTCATTCACTGTCTGAGCTCATAGATCAAAACATATCTTCTGTTCCTTAGGTGAGCAGTCTGCTCAAGGAAAAAATAAAAACTGACAATCCGATGAGTCCTATCCACACCTGGGCCAATAAAAATGTAAGTTTCCTGCTTTCATTCCTTTGCTGTGATTTTCATTAATATCCATTATTGTTAGCCTGCCTCGACTTAGGGGTTTTTTTTTTGAGACCATTATAAACTGGAAAACTAATGGATTGTGTCAGTGAGATGCTCTTAAAATTTTTTCAGAAGCAAAGGAGAATGCCAAGAGACTGGATTTTTTTAAGGTTGTTTTGGAAATCCTTCTGGTCAATCTACAGAAGGTCACCCACTAAGAGCAGTGCAGAGCAGAGTCCTGACAGTACCTTCTGAGTGCTGTTTCTAGAGGCAACTCAGGTGGTTGCCTTAATAGAAATAATTCACAATACATTTATATTAGCTATTCACATATATTATCTCATATACGGGCAACAATAATCCTGTGACATAGATGATACATGCAGCATAGTAAAAGTTGGCATGTATATAATATGTTGGGGTTTACTGTGTACTTTCCCCTGCATTGGAATCATAAGATCAAAGGATTTACAACTGAAAAGGATTTGCAATCAGATTATCTACTTCAACCCCATCATTTTACAGATGAGGAAATAGGGCCCAGAGAGGTTTAGTCATTCGCCCAAAGTTCCATAGGTACTGGGCAGCTAGGTGGTAGAGTAGATAGAGTACCAACCCTGGAGTCAGGAGGACCGAAGTTCAAATCCAGCCTTGGACACTTCCTAGCTGTGTGACCCTGGGCAAGTCATTTAACCACATTTGCCTCAGTTTCCTCATCTGTAAAATGAGCTGGAGAAGGAAATGGCCAACCAATCCAGTATCTTTGCCAAGAAAACCTCAAACTGGGTCACAAAGAGTCAGATGCAACCAAAATGGCTCAACAGTAACAGTGTCTCACATACAAGCAAGGCTAGCACAAGAAGAGTCTGTCTAACGTGGCAAACAAGAGCAGAAATCATACTGCTTTTCCTCGTTAACCGTCCCATTCTATGGTCCATCACACTACTCAGAAACAAAGCAGAAAAAGTAAGGCAACTAGGCTGTGTAGTGGAAAAAGCACTCGACTTGGAGTCAGAAAGAACTCAGTTCAAATCCCGATTCAGATACCAATAATTTGCTGTGTGACCCTGAAAAGGTCACTTATTCTTTCTCAGCCTCGGTTTCCTTATGGAGGTACCTACCTCACACAGGATTGTTGATCTGAATCCAGCCAACAGGCTTATATAGTTAGGTGCTCATCCATACAGTTAGATGCTAATACCCAAGTTTCCAGGACGATTATAATAAACATGATGACAGCTCTAACAATCACCTATTGCTTCAGAGCCTGCAGCATGCTTTCCTTTCCATAGCCCTTTGAAAGAAATAGTGTAAGGAATGTAATTAATAATCATGGAAACCCACACATTTACATGGTACTTTAACATCAATACTAACAACAACAATCCTAGCAGGGAGGTAATGACAGTATCTATCCCCATTTTACAGGTGAGGAAAGTGAAGATATAGCTATCAATTGTCAGACCTGGGACTTGAAATTCAGATCTTCTGACTTCAAAGACCAGCAGTCTTCCCATTACACTTTGCTGACTCCCCTGGATAATTCCCTAAATAGTAATAAATGTTCATGTCAGAGCTGTGTGTTAAGCACTTGGCAATATTCAAAGCACCAGGCCACGTAGTGGAGATAGAAAGATGGAAATTACACAGACCATGCCATCCTTGGCCACAGCAAATACTCTCTGGTTTTAGGTTTTAAAATGCACTAAGACTTGGGGGACACCCTGTATCCCTCTTGTGGTAAGAGCAATATTTTAATCCCACCCCCCATGCAAGTTAGGCTGGTTTTTTTTTCCTTAAAAAAGAGAGCTTCCTCAAGACTTGATTGGCTTAGAGAACTAAAGGCTTACACTGTTGATATCACTACCTTCTTGCCTGAGTACAAAGTAACCATGAGGAGCTCTAGTCAAGCTGTGATGCTTGGCTGGTGGATCATGATGGTTAACTGAGGCAGGGCAAGTTCACTCAGCTGAATCAAATAGAGGTGTCCTTAGTGCCTACACCTGTTGAATATCTTTCTGCCATAGCTAAATATATTTCTAGTTCCCATGATTTGGGCAGGTCTTCTCCCTGGAACTGTAACAAGGACACAATTAGATCAAAGTGTGCATTTGTGTGACTCTGAACCAGGTGTCAGGTATCTGGTGCTACCATTCTTCCTGTCTCCTCTCCCTTGTCTCCCTATCCTTGCCCTCATTTCAAAGTATCAGTATGTTCCCATAAGGGCTAAGTTTATGACAAGAAGGACTTTCAGAAAATAGCTTTGGCTGCATTTCTAGCTTGATCCTGATTGGGACACTGCTCCATCAACCTAAGGACATGTTTTGAGAATCCACACCTACTACTGAATGGGAGAATGATTAATGGCAAGAGAGATCAAGAAAGGATTTGTGGTGGGAGTAGTATTTGAGATGGCCTTTGAAAGATGGATGGGAATTCAGCAGGTGAAGATAAGGAAGTACAACATTCCAGTCATAGAGGACCAATGGGAGCAAAAGTACATAGGAAAATTGAGATTATGTCCAAGGCACCCCAGCTTGGCTAGAGAATAGAGTATGTGGATAAGATAAATGGTAGCCTGGCACCAGTTTGTGGAAAACTTTAAATTCCAAGAAAAAGAACTTGAGTTCTATTCAGTATTGGCTACTGACGACTTTTGAGCAGAGAGTGTCATGAGATTAGGACTGTGCCAAAGGAAGACCATTCTGGTATCCATGAGAAGAGCAAATTGGAGCACTGAAGGGGAGGGAGATAGAAGGATATTACAGTAGTTCACAGGGTTGATATGAAACCCCTATTAAAGTGTTGGCCCCAGTAATAGAGAAGACAGAAATTGATTCAAGAGATCATTTAGTCAAAAAACATTTATTAAGCATCTTTATTGTTGTTCAATTGTTTTAGTCATGTCCTACTCTTTATGACCCCATTTGGGATTTTCTTGGCAAAGATAATGGAGTGGTTTGTCATTTCCTTCCCCAGCTCATTTCACCAATAAGGAAACTGAGGCAAGCAGGGTTAAGTGTGACTTGCCAGGGTCACACAGCTAGTAAGTGTCTGAGGCTGGATTTAAACTCAGGTCTTCCTGACTTACAGGTCAGGCATTCTATCCACTGTGCCACTTAGCTGCCCATCCATAAAGAAGTGGCAGTTGAACCCATAAAAGTGAATAAGGAGAGAGCACAGAAGAAAGAGAGACTAAGGATTTAACCTTGGGAAATAGTCACCTTAGAAGGGAAAAAGTCAAGGAACCAAAGCCAGAAAGAAATCACATATGTAAATGCTCAAATAGGAAGTGCTCTGTTGTTCCCTACTATCTTCTGAATTCAAACTCACTTTTCTGACATTCAAGGCCCCTTGCAATCTAGTATATTAGTCATTATTTCATATATGTATATATATATATATATATATATATATATATATATATATTAGTGCCCTCTGTGGATAATCCTCTATGCTCCAACCAAACTGGATTACATTGTCTGCAATTTGTTCATGCCATTCCCTTTCCCTGTCTTGTCATGCATCTTCTTTACTTCGTGAATCCCTACTTATCCCTATTATCAAGATGCTGAACTCAAATGCTGCCTCCTTCATGAAGCCTTCCCTGATTCTTCTTGTCAATGACAAATCTCCCCCCCCCCAAGATTTTACTTATCCTTTTGGCTTACACTTTTCATGTGTATTTAGTGTAGAAGGGTCAGTCCACAATACTCTTGAGAGCAGCCTGAACCAGATTAAAATGAAATTGGGAAATATTTAGAATTTCAAATATTTCAATTTTAAATTTTAAAAATTTAAATGCTCAAATTTTTTAATTTAAATTTTTAAATATTTAAATTTTAAATATTTAAATAGCATTTTAAAATACAATAAGATATAAATAATATCACATTTTAAACCAAGTAAATATGTGGCCTGCAGAGATCCTTAGGTACAGATTTGAGGTCCCATTTCTGTTTGGGTTTGACATCATTGATTGAATCATTTGATGTGTGAATAAACTGAAAGTGGTTAATGGACTTGCCTAAGATGACATAGGAAGTAAGCATTGGAGACAGGATTTGAACCCAGTGCTTTGGTACCACTCTCTAATGAGGTATTGCACAGTATATATTATAGCCATCTGGGTTTATTCAATTCAATAAACATTTTTAAGTGCCTACTCTGTGCCTGGCACTGTGCTAGGTTCTGGGGATGCATATAAAAAAGACAGCCCCTGCCATCAAGGAGCTTACAATCTAATGATGGACAACAATGCATAAAAGGAATCTGGGAAGGGGAGTCAGACACCAGGGGGAATACTGAGAACATCTTGTTCCAGGAAACTGAAGCCAAGCAGAGATGCAGATGCAGAGTGAAGTGAGCTGGAAAGTTTATGCCTTATTAGACCACAAGCTCCATGAAGGCAGATATTGTATCTTTGCTAAACCTTGTATTTCCCTTTTTCTTTCCCCTCCAGCATGTAGCAAAATACTCCCTATACAGATTCTCAACAAGTATTTAAAGGAATAAAGAACTTTGTAAGACTTAAAGCACTATTAACCAATTAACCAATAAACTTTTATTAAGTGACTACTATGTGCCAGGCATTGTGCTAAGGGCTGGGAATACAAAAAGGAAAAGGAAAGACAGTCTCTGCTCTTAAGGAGCTTACAATCTAATGGATTAAATAAACAGCAGTTCATGAGTTATTAGATAAGTTAATTTTTTTGGAAAGAAAACATTTTTACTATTAAGGGTGTACAGAATATAAGGAGTATTTTGAATAATAACCTTAGAAGGCATCCTGCCAGATCAGTCTCTCCTCAGCGCATTCCTTGCCAGTGCCCTTCTATCTGTGACAGAAAGAAGCTGGAGATAGGAAGGTGAAGACTTGAGCTTTACGTCCAACTCTGCTGTAGACAAAATATCCAGCTCCTCTCAGTCTTTGTATCTCTGTAAAAGGGACAAAATATATAAAACATATAAGATCTGCCTCCCTCAAGGGATTATTGTTAAGAAAAAAATAAGATAATGTCTACAAAAGCTCTTTGAAAATGTAAGGGCTTGGACAAATAAAAATTACTGTTCTTATTACTCCGTGAGCTACAAAGAGTACACGGAAGGGAAAGACATAGTTAGGAAAAAGAAAAATCAACTTTACAATCCCCCAGGTGGATTCAACAACTCAATTAAATTCAATCAGTACTTATTAGGTACCTACTATGCATCAGACCCTAGTGATACAAAGACAAAACCACAATATGCCTTGTCCTCAAGGACCTTCTTTCCTATGGGAGAGAAACAACATTAGTCAAGAAATAAATACAAAATAAATTTGGGGTCATTGTTGAATCATTCTTCTGTCATGTCTGACCTTCATGAACCCATTTGGGGTTTTCTGGGACACTGGACTGGTTTGTCATTTTCTTCTCCAGATCATTTTACAGATGAGGAAACTGAGGCAAACATGGTTAAGTGACTTGTCCAGGGTCACACAGTTAGTAAGTGCCTGAGGCCAGATTTGAACTTAGGAAGATGAGTCTTCCTGACTCTAATCCCAACATTCTATCCATTGCACCACCTAGCTGCCCAAAATTGGGGATCAATGGGGCAGAAACAACTAGGTAGGGATGAGCAAGAGCTGATTCCTACAAATTCCCAAGAGCTAAATGTTCTATTTTCATAGTGAGCATTTACACCTCAGAAATTGACAAATGCTATAAGTTAAGACTTAAATTATTGTTTTGGGTAATGTCTAGACCTGAGAAAGTGATGAAGAAAATCTTAATGATGCATATTAAACTTAAAAGTATGTTGTGAGGTGCTATTTTTTTCTGAGTCAGTTGTTAAACATTTGCTAGCACTCCCTTGACTAAAGGGCTAAAAAGGGGACAGAACTTGAGATGAGCCTTTCAGAGAGTTGGGAGCTCTAGAAGGGAGGAATCATGGAGTCAGACTATGAAAAGGAATCGAGATGGGAGATGGATCTGTCCTATAGAGTAAGCCCATTTAGCTAGAACAGAGTGAGAGAAGGGGGTCAAATGTAATCAGCATGGGAGTAGGTAGAAGCCAGATAATGAACACCTTTAAATGACCAAAAGAAGGACAATAGGAAGACATTGTTATCATTGGGACAATAGGGAGAAGCTTTTATAGGAGGGACATGACATGGCCAAATTTGTCATTTCTAACTCATTTTATGAGTTATTTTATGTTTTCTTTAACATATTTTCACTGGAATTGCTTTTCTCCAGGATTAGGTAAATCGTGAGTAATTGCTTTCAAACCTGTCAACTGGAAATGAAATGTCATCTAAAGACTAGGACAGATTGGAAATTTGCAGATATGAACTAGCAGAGTTATAGAAATGAAATGGGGTGTGCCTCTAACCTCCACCCTATAGAGAAGGGGGCTTAACTTTTTCTGTGCCATGGATTCTCTTGCAATCTGGTGAAACCTAGGAACTCCATCTCAGAATAATATTTTTAAATGAATAAGATAAAATACATAGGGTTGCAAAGGAAACCAATTATATTGAAATATAGTTATTAATTTTTTTAAAAGAACAAATGCACATACCTCTTAAATTTTAGACACGTGGAGGTCAATGTATCCTAGACTAAGGACCTCTACTATAAGAATATCAGTTTCTGGTAAATAAATCATTAATTATATTAATGATTCACATTTCAAAAGGAGATTGTGGGAAGGATAGAGGAGGAAAGTTAGGTAGTAGGGAAAAAAACAAAATAAATCAGCAAAAAAAATTTTAAAAAGGGAACTGCCAAAAAATGTATAGCTTGTCAGTTGATAGGAATTTGTTGAAATAAACTCTTTTGACCATGTCATTAGTGATTCAAAAGCCATACGAGATATGATCCCTTCCCTGGATCCCTCATTATAAAAAAATAGCCAGTATTTTTATTATTGTTGTTCAGTCATGTCTCACTCTTTTTCACCCCATCTGGGATTTTCTTACCATTTCCTTCTCCAGCTCATTTTACAGATGAGGAAACTGAGGCAGATTTAAGTAACTTGCTCAGGGTCACACAGCTAGTAAGTGTCTGGGGCCAGATTTGAACTCACAAAGATAAGTCTTCCGATTCCAAAGCCAGTGCTCTGTCCACTGCACCACCTAGCTACCCAGTATTTATATAGTGTTTTATACATAATATCTCACTTTATCCTCCCAACAACTCTGGTAGGTAGGTGTTATTGTTCTCCCCACTTTATAAAGGAAGAAACAGAGGCAAGCAGGCAAATAGGGGTAAAGTGACTTGCCCAGGGTTACATAGCTACTAAGTGTCTGAGGCTCGATTTGGACTCAGGTCTTTCTGTGACCCCAAGTCCAGAATTTTATCCACCATGCCGCCTGTCTACCTCTCTAGGGTGGAAGAAAACAAGGCCAACAATTTTTTTTTAAGTTGCAAAGCAATATATCAATAGGTTGAAAATAAAGAAGAAATGGAATACAATAATGAGCTCACTGAAATTGTATGATGTCAATCAATGGTCTATTATTGAAGCTACAGCTGATGGTCATCCCAATGACTGGAATTGAGATTTTTGCATCCCCATCCAATTAGTCTGAACAAGTCTGCCTGAAAGAAATTGATTGATAGATAGATAGATGGTAGATAGATGAAGGAAAAATCAGTAGAGATCTCAGAATACAGTCATTTCCCTGTAGATTTACTATTATATTAGGGGCCGTCTCCAGGCAAGTCACTTAACCCTGTTTGCCTCAGTTTCTTCATCAATAAAATGAGCTGGAGAAGGACATGGCAAACCACTCCAGTATCTTTGCCGAGAAAACCCCAAATGGGGTCATGAAGAGTTGGACACGAATAAAATGACAAAATCCTTTCAGGAGAGCTGAAGATTTTAACACTCTCTATTTTCCCCCAGCTACCTTTGGTGCAGAGTACTGACCCTGAGCATTACTGCCACAAAGCCACCATCATCTGATGCATCAGTATTTCATTATACAAAATACCCAGGGGCAGCTAGGTGGCGCAGTGGATAGAGTACCGGTCCTGGATTCAGGAGGACCTGAGTTCAAATCTGGCCTCAGACACATAACACTCACTAGCTGTGTGACCCTAGGCAAGTCACTTAACCCCATTGCCTAAACCAAAAAAAAAAAAACCACCCAGACCTAAGTGGGGTGAAGGGGAACACCATCCTGATCTTGGGTCAAGAGGTACACGTCTAATGATTGCATTGTAGACTTATGGGCTACAAAAGCATTCTTAACTGGTCATTCTGCTGTTCTAGAAGAGGTGACATGCTTTTGATTGCAGAAATCATGGCTTGGATCTGCTGATGATGACCAGGAACTTGTGACCTAGGTCACCCAAGTCAAGTTATCCTATAGCTTCCCATTCAGCTGTGGTCAATTGTCTTGTTATTTTGATACATGCAGTGAATCCATTTTAGGAAATGGCTTAGCTGCTGAGACTGCAGCTTTGTGAAATCTGCATAGTATCCTATTAAATCTCATAAAGATTCCCCACCTCCCAGAACCACTATGTATTAATCATTTAGACCGAGTAGTGAAGTCCATTAGAATGAAAGCCTGAGCTCCTTGCTGTGTGCATTTCTGCTTGCATATGTGCTCATTTACATCCAACTCAGATTTGCTCTTTTTTATCCTCTTGGGTGATGAATCTTCTTCTGTCAATAGGTGACAGAGACGACTGTGGAAGATATTGATTTCTGATTCATAGAGCTTCAGGAAAGGCTAGCTCTAGGAAAAAAATGTAAAATGTTCCTCTTCCTCATTTCACTGAAGCATCCATCCTATACCAGTCAAGATCCTGCCCCCTCCCCCGCGTTCCCCAGCAGTGGCCTGTTCTCAGCTTTTCCTGCACCTCCTCTGTGAAATAGGAACCTCTAAGTGCTAAGGTAATCTGATGCATTAGTGTCAAACTAGAAATGAGGACCACTGAACCATACCTAAGGATCCCTGAGGGTAGGCACAAATTGACTTAGTTTTAAAATGTAATGGTATTTATAATGTTTCATTGTTTTTTATTTTGTTAAATATTTACCAACTTCATTTTAATATGATACATTGAAAATAAAAAATAAAGTAAGGAATGACAAGATGTCATCTAATTGATTCATAAAATTGTTGCCGTGCATAAAACAAATAAATAAAATTAAAGTTCTAACACAATACAGATGTTCAGGTTGACAACGGATGAAGATTATTTTTAATTTCCTTTTTCAGGTGAATTTAACAATCATCAACAAAAGCAAACAAAGATTTCATTGATAGCACAGAAAATAATTAGTTTGAGAGATGTAATTGATTTATCCTATGCGTTAAGACATAAAAATGGCTACCCTTTCTTTATGTGCATCCCGGCCCTCTCTCCATTTTCAAGTTTTGTGAAACTAACAATTGTGGAATAATGAGTCAGTACTTATTCAGACAGATCAGGAGTTTAGTTAGATGACCTAATCAGGGGAGGGGAAGCTGTGGCCTGTGGCCTTCTAGGTTCTTGGGTGCTTTGACTGAGTCCAAGTTTTGCAGAACAAATCCTTTTATTTGGATTCAGTTTGGATTCAGTCAAAGGGCTGCACTTGAGGACCTAGAGGGCCACATGTGACATCGAGACTGCAGGCTTCCCACCACTGAAAACCACACAAATTCTGGAACATGACTTTAAACTCATCTAAACAATTAATTAATACACTCAATTAAGTATAAACAATCCAGCTAATTCCTAATTCTCCTGCCTATACATTAACTCACTCTTTCCTTAGAGAGAAAATGGAATCTAATTCTCTTTTCTCAAAATTTGAATGGCTTCTTGGTCCACAGAGTTAGACTTTGGCTTCTTGATACTTGGGGATAACCAAGATGGCATCCTCAAAGACCATCACTACCTCCCTGTAAACAGGTCTAGTATACTCATCAATGAATCAACCTTGAACTCTGTGAACTAAGAATTATCAGATGACACTGAATCCTTTAAATGGGTTCACCTGGAATCTTGAAACTTTTCTCTTTTTTTCAGGTATGAAAAAGCACACTGCTGTATGTGACAAGAGTTTCTCTTAAAGAACAAGTTTCAGCTAAAGACTGTCATATCACAGGCTGATGAACCAACTGGCAACGTTTGCTTTCTAACTCTTTCCATCTTTAAAATATTTACAATTTTCAGCCTTGGAGATGTTTGTTATCTCAGCAGCTTTTCATTACCTGATGTTCCTATTTATTTTTTTTCTTTACATGTTAAAGCAGAACCTTTGCAAATCTGTTTAAAATATGCCATCACCCTTTTGTACATATAAGTGTTTTATTCAGTTATTTCATACACTGAAACATATTTTTCATATACCTGAAGTATGTATATGTCTTTTTATTATGCTTTTAATAAATAATGACTTTCTCAAAATGCTTAAAGGCAATGTGAATGTGGAGATGGCAATTGGATGTTTTCTCCACAAATGTGTGTATTTCCTCTTGCTACCTTAATATCATATTAATCTTGAGGCCTTCAGTAGTGGAGTTCAGTAGTGAACACTATATAAGAAATAAGAAAGTAAAAAACATGTCAACATGTTAGCTGTTCATTCCCTCTGTGTGACCAGGACTTGACGCCTCCTGGACTATATTCACCAAAGGGATAAGAACATAGTTTTGTCATTAATCCACATATATATATATATATATATATATATATATATATATATATGTATTTAACTCTTTCAGAAACTTAGGAAATATTTCCAGTGACCATTGCTGAATTTCTCTGATTATAGCAAATGGGCATTTTATAAGAGCAAAATCAAGCTATCACCAGCCAGGGTACTACTTTCTTAGAAATACAATATGCTGCTAGATAGCAGCCCATTGGGAGTAAGATCATCTCTTGGGAGTTGCCTGCTCTACTCTGATTCCTGTGTGCTGTTTTTCCGTGGTGCACAGACATCCCCAAAAGAAAATCAGAACAGGTTTTATGAGACATTAATGAGCATGCCATAGCTAATACTTTAATTTTGTGATTACCTAAACTGATTTTTATGCTTACTTACCTGAGGGACCCAAGGTCAGTATATATGATCTAAACTAGTATATTTCTTAATGTTTATTTTTTTCCTTTCTCTTGATGAAGTGAGTTTGAAGAGATTTACCTCTGAGGGTTTCAATAAACGATCATGCTTTTTCCAGCTTTCCAGTGAATGAAAATTTTCCAGTACAAGTTCAAGTAGTTACCACAATCGCACCATTGATATTTCTCTATTTGTTTACTTAGAGAGAAGAGGAAGAGAAAAGATGACTGTAGGATCATATGTCCATAGCTCTAATGAACCTTAGCATTCACTTAGTTCAACTCCCTCATTATGTAGATGAGGAAACTGAGGCCCAGAAAAGTTAGGCGATTTGCTCAAGGTCACACAGATACTGTCTGTGGCAGGATTTAAGCCTAAGTCTTCCTGACTCCAAGCCCATTATACCATACAGCCTCTCTGAGGCTGGCAAAAGGGGAGTGGGATATAGGTAAATGAAGGAGGGAAGGAGGAATTCTCCTCTGAGAACAGTCTTGAAGCTGGTGCACTTGAATCTAATCCTAAGAGCCTTGAAAGGCTGCTGCAGTCCAGTGAAGAAAGCCAGTGCCTCCATGCGCAGGCAGGGAACACCATTCTGAGCTCCTCTATGGTTACTATGCTGCTTGGCTAGAAATCTGAAGAAAAAGGAAGGAAGCTTTTCTGTTGCTTACTTGGTACTTCAATGATCTAGCATATCCTCCAGCCAGTTATCTCCCCCACCCAACAAGGCACAATGACGGCTAAAGGAGAGTTTATGACAGACCTGAGTTCCTTTCAGAGGTCCTCCTGAGCTCTCCAAATCAAGTTCAATGTGGAATGAGAGATTTCATCATAAAGCAAAAGCTTTTTAAAAGGATAGGCTCTGTGATTAGACTCTGAAAAGGCAAATGGTTACAGTGAGGGCTGATGATCAGTGTGGATAAGATCGTGCACAAATATTCAAAAACTATCTTGTTCTAGATGACTTTATCTAAGATCATGGGATCATAGGTCTATAGCTGGAAGCCCTAGAACCTATTAGATTGCGAGATCCTTGAAAGCCAGGACTGTCTTTACCTTTCTTTGTATCCTTAGTATAAGCACCAAGTGCAGGGCCCAAAGTAGGCCCTTAACCATTATAGAACCCTTGTATTCCCTCATTTTACAGAGGCTTAGGGAGGTTAAGTGATTTATCTAAGGTCACAATGGATTCTAACTTGGATCCTACAAGTCCAGTTTCAATATTTCTTCCTCTGTACCATGCTGCTTAATCTGCTCCCTAAGAAGTCTGCCAGTTCTGTAGTTAAATAGCTGACAATCATACTTCCCAATCATCTAATTTACAATATCTCTTTTTCTCTATCTGAGCTACAGCATGATTTTCATTTATAAACAAGTTCAAGTGCCATCCAGCTGAAGAAAGCTGTATTCTTCTAAGAATTAGATCAAAGGCCAGGGTTCTACTGCGTTTATTTTACATGGCCAAATGAATCGAATTTAAATTTCTCTATAGCCAAAACATAAACAAAAGCTAATTAGCTGGCACTATTGTCATCTGAGAATAAGTGGATGTTGTTGGCTGGCAAACAGGATATAATTAGCCAGTGGAAAGAGATTTCCAAATCCCCATCGCTCTGGTATTGCTATGCCACATATGGCCCCCAACCGTCTGAGCTGTTCCTAGTCCTGATGCTATGTTCCAGTTCCATGGGGTCAAAGAAGGCCATAGTGAGAAATAGTGTCATTGAACACTCTAACTTTAGTATGCTTCTTCCAATTAGACTCAAATACTCATATGGATTTGTGATCTCATCGATTCCAATGCTCTCTCCAACCATGCAGATGGCAACCCATCCCTTTCTGTGCGACTCTTCTACATGTCTTTCCTATTGAGATAAACAGGGTCAGGACTCCCATCATCTAGGATTTCAAACTTGCGCGTATTCTGGCCAACTTGTGCTTTGATTGATCACGTTCTCCCTACCATAAACATGTTCATCATTACTTGTTATTACAGCTAGTAATCAACATGATTAATTAAACAATAAGCATCCAGTACCAAGAATATCCCAGGCTTTTGGAATCTCATCTCAGGCTCCTCCTCCCAGAGGGGAGGAGACCGTAAATGATTCTGTCCTTCAAAGGGGGCAGTGACCTGATCATACTATAAAGCCCCCTTCTTTTTTTGTTGGATATCATTCCAGAGGAAAATCTCAGTGTAAATCTGAACATCCTTCCACTACCATTAATCGCAGGAACATTATGTAAGGATTATGGAGGACACCAAGAAATATTGGCATGGAGAGTTCGTATTCGTTTACGTCTCTTTGCCTCCCAAACAGCTTTCTCCACAAAATCCATAGACCAATACTTCATCATGACATAGTAAATGAGTACTGGAATTGGAGTCAGGAAGGCCTGGGTTCAAATGAAAACACTTTGAATGATTTAGAGTTCAATATGAATGTCAGTTATTAATAATATTTAGTCAATGTCTGCAAAGGACACATTCTGGCCAGGTGCTACCAAGCTGGAAAATCCTCTAATGGACAATACCAACACCTGGCAATGAGCCTTTCAAAACTCAGTTGTTCAGATGACTGTCCATCACAGGGCCCATATATACCCTTAGCTTTTTTAGCTCTATAACACCAGCCACACCTTGCCTAGTACAACAGGGCTCTAGGACACATCTTTAGTGGCCACTAATTGACGATTACCATTCTCCAAGGACTCAACCATTACAACATGTCCAAGTTTCAGGGACCATCTAGTCCCATTCCTTTTTTAACCTGTGCAAATATAAGACCCTCTCCCCCCAGTATATGCATACTTCAGTTGCTCACAAATACTTTGAAACCAAACATTCATTTGTCTGAAGCCTTTTTT